CAAAACTTTCCAATTTAGATTATCAGACCACCTGATTAACTGCAATTTAAAACTCATATTTTGTCCATTGCCTTCTCTTAGTCACTTCCATTTCTTCATGCATTGCCTCTGTAATGTAAATTCTATACTTATACTACATTTACAGATAATACCCTACTTCAAATAGTTTGACTTATAAATGTAAACAATTGAAAGTCTAAAGACCTTACTTCTAGTACAGCAGTCAATAAGTTACACGAGCTATTCAATATTTTATTATAAAACAGGTCTGTGATAAATGATTTTTTCCAACTCTAGGTTAGTATGAGTGTTTCTGAGCCCATTCAGGTAGACTATTCTAAACTATATGTTCAGTAGGTTAGGCATATTAGGGATTACTTCTGACTTGTGATGTTTTCAGTTTATAATGATTTATTGGCACATAATCCCATTATATGTCCAGGAAGACCTGTATTTCTGTCTTCATCTACAAATAATATCCTTTTAAAAAACCACTTTTATTTTTCACTGAATGAGATTTTCTCAATTTATATCATGCTCTAAAAGCAAATTAAGCAATTTTATAAAGAATGTTCTCTAAGTTAAAGCTTTGATATACTAAATATTGCAGTCATAGGATGAATGATTATTTCACAATAAAAGGTCCATAGTTTACCACTTGGTAACATACATACCAACATGTCTATGAGCCATCACTTTGCCTAGTTTCACTATTTTATTCAAATAGCAATTAATTTACTGTGAACAATTTATTACAACTACACACCACATAAAAATACTGAATCTTTCTCTTTAAATCACGCCATTAAATGAAAGCTCATGTTAGTATTTTATAAGTGAAGGTTAATTTGAATATAATTTATTATTAGAATATAAGTATGATTTACATATATACATATACTGATTGTAAATTTTAAATGTACAATCAAAGGTAGGTAAAAACCAACAGGCTTTCTCAATGACTTAAAAGTTATTTTCTTTTGCATGTAAATGCTGATCAAGCATAATTTATTTCCTGAATAGTATTTAAATTTGTTTGCCAATGGGCTATTTCCCTAAGACTGTCTTGAAATAAAAATACTCTTAAGTCTTATTATAACGGAGGGTTGAGGTGGAGAATCTATACTTGCAGCTCCTTCCTGCTACTTTCTTTAACAGAGCATCACATTTCTGCCATCTATTATTCTACACCTGTCTTCAATGACTGCATCATCTTCTTCATGTTTTCTGTGGGAACTTTTGAAAAGTTCTGTGGGAACTTTTGAAACTCCTACAAGCTAAAACCACTCCATTGTCACATTTGATTCAACCTACCCTTATATTTCCCAGTCTTGAACAAGTATTTTACTATTTCCACTCTCACTTGCTTCCATCTCAGGCTAGTTTTTAAGTTTAGCCATGTTATTGATATTTTACATCTCTTTCTCTTCAACTTTTTCACCCTAAATATTAGTTTATAAAAAATGAAACCTATTTTTTGCTGGTCACTATATTAAATATTCTTGGTATATGTTTTGGATATAAAAGCAAATAAATAGTTATTTACTGTTTTATTGCCAGAAAAAGAATCCAGACAAACGTAAGCAAAAAATAAAAAAAAAAAACATACTATAGTTGGAAAATTTTATGTTATTTATAAATCTATACTAAGGGGCCATTGATGAAGCATGAATTTTACAAAAATAGCCAGATCACAACATGTTAAATAAAAGGAATGGTGTAATCTCATTTGGATTCTTCAAAAGCCACTTTACAGGGAAAGATTTGAGGAGGAAAGCTCAGAAACAAATTGGCCACTTAGGGGCTATTCTGATATTTTTGGAAAGAGATAACAAAAGCCTATAGACTCTAGGAGCAAAACTCAGAAAAAGGAAACATGATAAAAAAATTCATGAACAGAATGGAAAAGACTGGATAATCAGTAGAGATTATGGGTATTAAAATAAAGAAGGAATTCAAATTGACTCTCAATTTTCCAATTGGTTACTCAAATGAATAGTAATTCAGAAAGGTAGTAAATACAAAAGAAGTATCACTATTTTTAAGCATGTGAGACTTCCAAGGATCTCTGTTTCCTGGGATTCCAGATCTATTAATTACCTGTATCTGAATGTGTACAAGATAGAGTGATTCACTATTTCTGTCTTTGCTTTTTTTTTTTAATTAAAAAACAAGGCAAAAAATGATTTGTATGGTACTGTTATTATATAAATGACAGAAGAACTGGTTGGCTTAGAACAACAGAAATTTACTGTATTCTTAGTTCTAAAGTCCAGATGACTAAAATCAGTGTGTCAGAAAGGTTGAACTTCTCCAGAACCTCAAAGGTAATTTTTGGTTTTTGCCCTTTCCAGCTCTGGTGACACCAAGGGACTGCTAAATTGTTCCACCACGCCGATCTTCTCATAAAGAACGGCAGTGGGATTAGGGTTCTTCCAGTAAACTGAGATGATTTGAGATCCTTAATTTAATTACATCTTCAAAGACTGTTTTTCCAATTATGTTCACAAGTACCACAGGTTAAGATTTGAATATATATGTCTGGAGGTTATCATTTAATTTACTACAAGCAACACTTCCCAGATTGGGTTGTAGAGGAATATGGTTTTAGTGGTGTCTGCTTATTTTTGCTCTTTCTTCGAGTATTGGTCTGGGAAAAGGTAGTTTTCAGACAGAGGCCCTTCCTCACTGCCTCTGAAAGTAGACCACTTTGTCCTGGCTGAGCTTTGGAAAGATGGTGCCTTCAGCTGTTTAACTGTAACATCATGACCCTAGAGCAGCAGCATCAGCAAAGCTGGGCCTGGAGTCATCACCCACAGAAACTGTAATAATACATAAACACTCTTTTTTTTTTTTTTTTAGATTTATTTATTTATTCGTACAGACCTGGGGTACAGGCCAGAGATGCGGAGGATGAGAGGATTCACCAGAGACAGAGTGGGGAGCAGAACAGGCAGATCGACGAAGTACACTGCTGAGGGGAGCAGCGGGTGAGTCAGGAGAGGTCTGCATCGCCATGTGGTCACCTCCGGGGCAGGCGGGAATCGAACTCATGCGGATGTGGCTTTAGTTTCTCAGTGCAGTGCTTTAACCCGCTGCGCCACCAGGGAGGGCCATAAACACTCTTTTTAGCTACTAAGCTTTAGAATGGTTTATCAAACAGCAATAAAAAATTAATTAAACAGCCCTAGAAAACAGACATGTCTAGGTTGGGTCAGCATTAACTATGATAAACCATGCAAATAAATTTAATTTTGCAATTAAGAAATATTTATGGTGTATGCTCTATTAAACATTGTGGTCAGTTTATTTAGATGTAACTTTGTATCTGTAGTGATGAATGATGACACAGTTCTAATCTTAGAACTGAATCTTAGAGTTTCAGATGATATACAAGACCATGCAAATGTATGTCAGAGGAATGGAAATGGTGTTAAGATATATTGCTAACAGGACAAGAATCTGATCCAGATTCCAAAAGTCAGAACAGAATTCCTTGGAGAAGTCAAATTTTGAACTCCCATAAACTAACCTACTTAGAATTATACTCTCTTTCCTTTCAACATTGCATGATTTAGGTCACCTCTAAGTATTAGGCTTTTCCTGTCCATTCTATTAAGACTTCCTAAAATAAATTTATCTGAGCTCTTCAAGCAAGGGACACATATCTACTTTGAAATTGCTGGAAAGGCTAAAGCTGGGTCATACATACAATGGTTATGAATCAAACTGTGTATCAGTTCTTTATCTCACAAGATGTTCTTATTCTCATTATACTTGTATTTTCACTTTAAGGAAGCCCAATCACTTTTCCTCAATGAGTCTTCAATTATATAAGGAATTGCAATGATATTTTTTAAAAAACACTGACTATTCTAGCAAACAATAAAAAGAGGCAGAAATTTTTCAGTGTTCAACATCAAAAACTAAAATCCGACTTTTGCTGTATTTTTCCTATTTTGGTTAAAATACAGCAAGCACTACCATCTTGCCTGAAAGACCTTTCTCTTAATCTCCTGTCAAATCTCCTCTCTCCACACAGTATTTTCTTATTTATACCACTCTCACCTTAGAAAGTTGCCACTCCTACTTTGCATTTTTGCAAACTTTAAAGACATTGCTTTTGACTAATCTTGATCAGGCTCCATGTTTTTGGGAAACCTCAGCATTGCAACATAATTAGTTACAAACTAGCCTTTCTTTGACTACCATTCAATTGTTACACTACCATGATGTTATGCATGTTTTATCCACAATATTATAAATTCTTCAGGGATAGGGGTCACATTTTTTCTACAGTTCCTAGCTTAGTGCCTAGCAAATAGTAAGAGCTTACTAATGCTAATGAAAATGAAAGAAAATGCCTACAATTATTCTCCTGTGCTTTGGAATTTCTTTCTCTTTAATTTGACATAAACACCACTACTGATTAAAGTCTTAAAAGTACAACTTAGATCACTTTCTACACTTAAAATTGTCCCTCACTACCTAATAATGAAATCAAATGTTTAAGTATAGGAATCCAATCATAGAACGAAGTTCTAATTGCTCTGCTATATTACCCTGTCATTCAAAATCCTGAATATTGATTGTGCCTTCTAAATTGTACGCCTTTGTTCCAACCTGGCCATTCATTTAAAACCATTTGTGTTTATTCATTTAATAACTGACACTCTGAAAACACTAATTCATATCCTCAAATAGAACAAAAACAGATTTGTTATAAAATTAATAAAGAAATTAACAAAACACATTAAAAATCATTCCAGTTTTGTTTAAAGGGAATAATCAATAAAACAAAAATAAAACGATATAAACAAAATGATAACATAAGTCATTTTTACAAAACCGGCTAATTTGTGGTTTTAATTTGTCTCACCTTTACATATTTATCATTGTTTATAATAAAATTATTTTTTCAGTATTTGAGACAAAATAAAACATCTTTATAGTTTCAAAAAAATTTTTAGTGGTGATAAACATATAAACACTATTCTTACCTGGGTGTGTGCAAATATAGTTGAAATAATATGCAGACACTTGACTTTAGACAGTTTCGATCATACAGCTGCCATCCAAATTCTTCTTCTATCACTTTCAATCATATGTACAGCAGAGAAACACATTAACTAAAAATAAAATCACAATTGACTTAGTAGAATTAATAATAACATTTTTATATTTTTTATTTAAAAGTTACAATATGTATTATAAAATTTTAATTGCTTAATTATGTCTTGTGAAAGTTCAAGAAAGTGACCTAATAATAGGAAAACAATGCAACTTTTTTAAAAGATAAAATAACAGCTTGCTAAAGGGAAAATTGAAACCTTGCTAAATACAAAGTTAAATATTTTAAAACTTCTAGGTATGTTACTATAAAAAGAGTGATGGTTGGTTGGTAATATACCCTGTTCTTGCTGGGGCTGTCTTACAATTAAGTCTCAACCCTCTCCTTCATGTTTTAGCCCAAACTAACCAAAGCACACATCCTGACCATGATTAAGCAGGTGAAAACAGAATGCAAGAAAGCACTGGTCTATTGTAATGTCCATTCCACTTTTATTTCTATGGAGAGGAATTTAAATCGGTTATATACTTCTGTTCATTCTGATGCTGTAACTAGAACACAGACAGCACTTGGTTAAAATTTTATACATTTCTTTATTCCAACAGGCAAAAGAAAAAGTCATTCCGGAGCAACAACACAAATTATGTTTTCCCTAATTCACTTATTTCAAATATACCTTTGACATAAATTCAAATAGTAGCAGAAAAATCCACAGAACATTCAGAGTGTGTTAGAAAATATCCATGGTGTATCATCTCTTCTAGCCAAGACAGTAAAAAGATAGTTCTGCAGATAAAATCATGAAAATATATCTAACCTTTCATTCTATTTCCCTCCACAACTTTAATACAAGCCACTGGTAGCCAGACCTATATCTTTAGCTTGTTCAAATGGTAATTTTCCTACTTGTAAAATATTTGTATTGGAAAAAAACCACTAGAGATAACATAAGTTATAATTTTTAACCAGACTTAAAAAAGCCACATTCAAAATATTATAGCAAAATAAATGTGTTTTCCTTAAAATAGCTAATTCCATTTAACATACCCACAGCTTTTATTTCTCCTCATATTGATTGAAATCCAGGCTTACTGTAAGAAATACGTTTCAAGCTAGACTATTTTATGCAATGAGACAGAATAAAGAAGCATAAAAAAAATCCACATCAAAAACAAGAATGAACTTGTGCCTATTTTTTTTTTTTTTTTACCCAGGAAAATCACGGATACTTTGAAATGAACCTATTCCGTGTGTGATATGATTAAATTTGTTCCTATAAAGAGCATTTTAAATATTCTTACAAAAAATGAGATGAAACCAATTTAAAATTTTATAATATAAAAATTGATTTCCATTTCAAATGATTCTTAAAATTTTAGTGTGAAGATAATACTCAACTTTATACTTTTTTGCCACCATTTATTACATATAACATATGAAATATGAAGCGGTATATAAAATTAAATTACTCCATCTGATATGATTAAAGCTGCTCATTTAGAGAACATCTTACATATTCCTGTAAAATATGAGGCATGTTTATGTGTGCTCATTTGAATGTAATTTTCAATTTTATAAAATAAATCTTACCTGATTTCTACTTCAAATGATTCTTAAAATTTTAGTGTGGACATAATACACTTAATTATTCAGTTTTACTACCATTCATTATCTATATCAAATGAAATTTGAAGATCTATATGAAATTAGATGAAGCCAACCATTTCTTTACTAAAACCTTCATTTTTCACAACAGTATTAGTTTAAGAAATGTTAGTACCATTACAATATGACTAGGTGCTTCAGTTTATTAATGACATATATATACCATATATTAAATATATAGTCAGCTAGAAGGTAGCCCTACTTTTTATCAAATGAAATAGAAGCCACTACATTTACTTTTTTTTTTTAAACTAGCTCCAAGAATTTAGCAATATTCAATCTAATTTTCAAAATGTTGTGGGGGGAAATTTCCTGCATATTTGCTCTTTTATCTTAATAGTTTGATTACTGCCATTTACGTATCTTATACAGTGCAAGACACCTTTGAAAAAGCACAAATGCCTTAAGGAGTTTCGACACATCACCTTTCTGGACACATCAATCCTAGAACACCAGGATCATGAACTCCACACAATACATGAGGATAATGGAGTCTCAGAAAATGGGGACTTGAACAGTTACAAATAACTGGAAGCACTAAAACTCAAACTCAAGTCAGACTGCTGCTGGCAGCTGTTCCCCTGAAACACATGCTTATGGTTTAGCTAACTACAGGAAAGAAAGATGAGCATGGACTAGAATGAGCTAAAGAGGTTGATCTTCAAAAAATGAAGGATGGAGATATTACTACAAAAATTAAAAATTTAATCATTAAGTTATAATTACTTTAAATTCAACTTATGTGATTAAACCACAGGGAACACTCTTTTTATCAACCTTCAGTTATCTTTCGTTGGGATTTACTCTTCTTTTGAAAAGGTTCTGCTTCAGATACATGCCTGGGTGAGAACTCACTGTTCCCACCTGGGGCTGCCCTGTAACAGTAACAGGAATAAAGAACATACCATCTTCATCCTTCAAAGAGCAGACATACCTTCAAAGAATGGCATCTATAATTTGAAAATAGGATGTTTATGGGGGGATATGTCATAAGAAGTTTTAAGGCAAAGTAAGGCGATAGCATGAAGATTCCGCAATGTCATACTAAGAAATTTGGATTTTACCTCAAAAGTAACAGGAATATGATAAACATGAACAAAAAAGGAATATAATAATAACAGGCCATGAAGGTGGCATGATAAAATATATGCTTTAGAAAATGCTTTAGAAAATCATGCAGCAAATGTGGCTCTAAAGAAACCATGAGAAAGAAGGTAAGACCAGCAAAATGTATCTTAGAAGTTAGTGTATATTTGTTAAATGATAATGTAAAAATACAGTAGACCCAGAGCATTCACATTTTTAAGGTGGAAAACTGTAATCATACTTTGGATATAATTTATGTAGAGCCAGAATACCCTGGATCAGGGCGTACTTACTCTCACAGATGTCAACTATGCCAAGAACTCTCAGCACCTGATAATGTTCTTTTGCATTCTAAGTTCTCTACTGCAGCTTTTGGTATGAAAAAGGAAAAACAATGATAGTAGATGAGACCTGGCAAACTATTTCAGAATTAATGACAATTTTCAATTTACCTATTTAAAAACAAATTCAATCTAGTTTTTTCCTCTACACTTGGCATGAAACTTTTAGAAGCACTCTGAGCTGTCACCAGCAGGAAATTTTCCTAATTAGAAGAGTAAGGAGAATAATTATCAAGTCATTCACTCTTTCTGCAGAAATCAGTAGAAAGCTCATGTCAGTTTCTGTGAAACGTTCAGTTATATTTTTCAGCAAAAATGGGTTAACATAAAGCCTTTGTTCTTTTTTTGACATTTACATTTCTTCACAAACTCTAACCTCTCCCATAGTAAGGGTATTTTATGGAAAACACAGTCCAGGCATTGAGATAAAAAGTAGTGCCCATTAGGCAAAAATTAAAAATTGACTTGAGTTAATGAATGATGTATGGCAGAGTGAATGTCATACAAAGATAGAAAAACTTTTAATGCAAAGGAATTTGTAAAAAAAAAATAAAATTGGCTGGGGAAAAGTGTAGGAATACCAACAATGTCTAACAGGGGGAAGGAGGCAGGAGAAAAGAAAGAATAAAAAGAGAGAAACACACGAGAAAAAACAAGAATGAGGGCTACAAGAGAAAGAGCCTTTTGCTCACAATTAGCAAATTAATTCCTGGATTTTTTTTCTGGGCCAAAGGTGACTTGTATATCCCAAAACATTGACCAGGAGTGCAGAAACCTGGAAAATCTTGGAGATCATGGTGGTCAATTCTCCTTCCCCACCTGGCTTCTCCACATGATAAAGGTGCAATCCACCAAAGAAAATTGACCTATTATATACATAGTGATAGGGAAATTTACAAATAAACAGTAACTAAACATCATGTGACCTCAGTGTATTCATTTCAATTTATTCCTTACTATTGCTTCCTAGAAGTAAAACTGGTAAAAACTATTTGATCTTTTTTAAGTATTTTAATACACATCTCCAAGTTTTACAAAAAAAAAGATACCAACACAGACTAGGAACAGATGATAATGCTACTTTCAAGTCTCCCTTACCAGAAATGACTTTTTACTAATTTTTTTCACAACTGGATTGCCAAAATGTGTTACTTCTTTTGAAATATATACTTCCATAAGTTGAGAAATAGATGTTGCTGATCCTTACATTACACCTTAGCTGTGAATTAATACAAAGGCATTAAGTTCATTCCAACAAGGAAAATCTGAACTGTTACACACAGTGGTAGGAAAGTCACTACTGAAGATGTCAAAGAATTTTATTTACTATTCATGTATGTTATTTAATTACTAATGTTTCATGTTAGAGGCTGTTTGATGAAGAAAATCAAGAAACTGAGGTTGGGGCCCTTCCTGATAGTACGGCACTATGAAGCTAGCCATAGCTGCTTCAGCACAAGTTTGATCCCTACCCAGGGAGGTGACCCACATGGCACAGTGTACTTCTCCTATCGTGCCCACTGCTTCCCTCAACAGTGTACTTTGTCAATCTTCATGTTCAGCTCCCCACTCTGTTTCTGATGAATCCTCTCACTGTCCCTGCACCACTGGCCTGTACCCCAGATAAATAAATCTTTAAAAAAAGAAACTCAAGTTGATTCTTAAATGAAAAAAAATGAGTCAGAAATCATTCATTAGTGTGTATTATATAAAAAGCCATTAGTCTAATATTTCAAGTCTTGTGGAGTTAATATACATACTAATATCCATGAAGTACATAATGAATTGAAAGGCAAATTTCAGTGCTATGTAATTCAGTGTTCTGATTTCCTACAGCTAAGGCAGGGGTGTTTAACTAATCCTTATCTATTTATTCTAAGTTAAATGCAGTATCATCATAATTGGATATAAGTAAGTGAAGTGATACAAATAATGTTCAGTAAAATTTGGAATACCTTCCATATTG